TTTTTTGGGGGGGGGGGGGGGGGGCGGCACACAATTCTCTGCAATGAGTGTAAATCAGCTAGCTTCCAGATGGCAGATTTCTATGAAGAGGGAGCCAGAACTGGTAGCCAGAAGAGTAGAGTATTTGATTCAGCACAGAGTCCTCTGCTGAGTCTGACTTCAGCATTAAGGTAGGGCACCAAGAGATAGGAGGAGAGAGAGATGTGGGCAGAAGTGGGGAAATGAGGCCTTTAGCTCCTCCTGCCAAAAAGAGCCCCTACAGAAACATCTCCAAGATGCCTTCCCTTCTTGCAACATACACACACTTTTCCCCCTCCTCTGTATGGTACCATCATTCCCCCTTTACCTAACCCTCAGGTACAAACATGAAAATTAAGGTAATCCACTGAAGATAAGAAAAAAATCTGGAAATTTGATTTTGCACTAGAGTTTTCCAGGACCACAGTCCTATTTTGTTTGTCCTGCCCACATAAGATGGTTTCTTTTTTCCCCCCCATATGCACACAAGATTATGAATCTTTTAAAAAACATTTAACTGTAAATTTGAAAGATAGGTGATGAGTTATTTATTTTAAGCTTCACAAGTACTATTGAGTAGTTAGTAAACTAGGGCCATTTAAAACTTTTTTTTAGGAAGCACTGCTAACAAACAGGATACTGTATCAGCAAAAATTCTGTTTGGCCAAATAAGGGCAGCATTGTGAACCTTTTACTCCAAGCAGAGAGCAATAACTCCCCTGAATTATCCCACTGAAGCCATGCGAGTCATCATTCATGGCTGCGAGTAACAGATTCACAACTTAGCTTTAACTGTTCATACAATTGAACTATACATTTAAACTTAAATAAATTCTGACAACTTCTTCCTCCAGATAAATGGGTACACCCTCAGATACATACAGTCATCTCCACTTATTTTAATGGATACCTCTGGTCTTGCATTTAGAAGGAGAAAAAAAAAAAAAACTGCCCACCAGATTTACTATGAATTACTTTACAAATGAATTTATCAAGTCTTATCATGATAAGACTACAGGCATCAGTTTGTTTACAAGGATGTACAGATCAAGTCTGTGGTTCTTAATTTATTGCCTCATCACATGTTGCATTAAAAATAGTATTACTGAAATCCCCAGAACAAGACCCACCATCTGGCATAACTATGAAAGCAGAATAATTTTAAGGCCTAATACTGTCCTTCTAAAGATAATTGAGAATACAACATTTGTGTCTGCAGACTTAAACATAATGACCTAGTCAGTCTGAAAACCAATGGGAAGCAGTAGCTAGCACAGAACAAACAAATTTGCTCACTAACAAGTGGTATATTATTGATCTATTAACCTTGAACTCTGAGAGATGATTGATGTGATTGCACAGCTATTGACCATCATCTTTGAAAACTTGGGATGATTGGGAGAGGTCCTACATGACTGGAAAAGTGCAAATATAATGCCCATCTTTAAGATGGGAAAAAAGGAAGACCTGGGGAACTACAGGCAGGTCAGTCCCTGGAAAAATCATGGGGCAGGTCCTCAAGGAATCCATTTCTAAGTACTTGGAGGAGAAGAAGGTGATTAGGAACAGTCAGCATGGATTCACCAAGTGCAAATCAGGTCTGACCAAGCGATTGCCTTCTATAAATGAAGAGACTGGTTCTGTGAATGCAGTGATTGCCCCATGCTTCTTATCACTACCCTATGCTCCTTACCCATGTGGGCACAAATGACACCGCTTGGAGCAATCCCAGCTGGGTTATGAATGGCTACAGGGCTCTGGTAGTAGGGTTCAGGGCAGGGCGCAGGTGGTTTTTCCCTCAATCCTTCCAGTTACAGGTCACGGGCTGAGGAGGGAGAGAGAAAGTGAGGCAGTAAACAAAAAACTGCAGTGCTGGTGCCATTGTGAAGGCTTTGTCTTCTACGACCAGAGAGGCAGTAGTCTGTTGGGAAGAGATGCCCTCCACTGGGGAAGAAGCTCTTCTCAGCCAGAATGGCTGACCTGCTCAACTGGGCTTTAAACTAATCTTGCAGGGGAATGAGCCGACAGCCACCAGAGCAAACTCACCAAGCATCAACTGCAAAACCAGTAGGTTAGGATGCTCAAGGGAACCCACTCCTATCCCAGCCTGGGAACAAAGCTTCTCCATGAGCACACGGAAGCCTAGGGCCTCCAATGGCATACTTGTGTATCTGTACACTAATGCTAGGAGTTTGGGGAATAAAACAGGAGGAACTGGTCCTTCTGCTAAAGGAAAATGACTATGATCTCATACAGATAATGGAGACCTGGTGGGACTCCTCTTTTGACTGGACTATGGGTATAAATGGCTACACCCTGTACAGGAGAGATCATGCTGAAAAAGAGGGGCAGAGGTATTTCTGTACGTCAAGGAGAGCTACACATTCCTACAGTCTGAGATTGGCACCAAGGAGGATGACTGAAGACCCTTTGGGTTAGAATATGAGGGGAATGTAGTGAATGGGGATACAATGGTAGGAGTCTACTACAGGCCTCCAGAGTAGGAACAAGAATTTGCCAGGAAACTGGCTGAGGCTGCATGCTCTTGGTGCATGGGTGTCATGGG